AGATTCTGCCCTTCTACTGAGATGGAAGAGTTGCCTCTAATGGGAGGAATTCCAATGAACATTTGTTGTAGTGATAGAGGTGAATTTCAGGACAGCTGTTTGTATATGCACTCCCAATGTTCAGCCATAAATGATGATGTAATATGAAGTTAATCTAAGTACAAATATTTATTAATAGTGAGTGGCAGATTTCCCTCCTCCCAAATGTGCTATCCCACTAGGGGAAGTAATTGATTTCCTATTGTTATAAAAAGGTTTTTTGAGTATTGAGCAGCAACTGCCCCTATATCTATAAAAAAAAAAAGGGAAAAAATTATTTTAAAACTTACACAACAGATTGATATCATTAATGATGCAAACCCCTATATCTTTGGAGAACAACAGTTTCATGGCGCTTCCATTATCCCAACAAAATATATTTATAATGAAGACTGTCCTAGAATTTTACAGGAACACAGGGGAGGAGGGAAGAGAGCTTTTGGACTGAAGCTCTTCTCCTTCCCCAAAATGGTAAAATATAACCATGTCTTATGAAAAATATATTTTATAATTACCTCTAAAAGTACTATTGTTCATGTAATAGTACTTAAAGAATCACTTAAAATCTATCTCATATAGGGAGTTAGTTATATTTCTATTTCTTTCTATTTTTTCTATTTCTTCCTAAGTAATTATCGCTATAAGTTTGAAAAAAAAATAATACTCTTTCTGGCTGAAGCACCCCCAAAACTAAATTCTGGATCCGCTGCTGTACAGGAATACCTGAATATAACGACAAAAAGTTCGTTTTCCCTTTTATTTAATAGAAAGTTCATAATTAAGATTTTTAACTAATTCAAATTGAAAACTAACATGTATAGGTCTATCAATTATTCTCTGCAGTTAGTATTCACCGATGAGACTTTAAATATAGTAATCTTGTTCCTTATATTTGGATACGCACACAGAGTTTAAAAAAATAGTTTTATTATTCAATTCCCAATAGTTGAGAGATGATGTTGGAGCATCGGCAACATTTGGGCTGCGCATTCCATTGCAATGAGCCGAAGATGGGAATCAATAAGGCTGTGATGGTAAGGAAGTAGAAGAGACCCTTGAGCCGCAGGCCGGGGTACCGGTACTCTGCCTTGGACATCATCCGCCCGGGGAAGGATCCACCTAACAGGCTGAAGGAGGATAGGCAGCGGCTACAGATGAACCTCTGAGGGACTGGAGAGTCGCAGGCACAACTGTTCTCAGAGTGTATTCTTTCCTTGACGTGCTTCACTGCGACAGGGGCCGTCTCAACTAGTTTGTTCGTATTGGGATCATCCATAATAAAAAAGCTTTCTCACCTACATTATAAGGACTATCTTAATCATTTAGGTTATCTCATAACAACGCCATATATATCCACGTTATTTATGAACATCTGTCGCACATTGTTTACTAGAGTATTGTTTTAAATCTAAAGATTTTAGATTATTTTTATTCCTGATCTGTCTAAATAAATATCTGTGTTCTTCTCAATCTCCTGTATTGATCAGAAAGCCGAACAGCCCTCGACAAATGTCTAAGTTCATTCCAAATCAATGGAAATGAGATTCCTCCCAAGAATAGTTAGTAAGACCAGGAGGTACTGCATTAAAATGGAATAATTCGGTATCAAGTTAGTGTCAAGAGCGTCAACTAAAACTTCTGGACGATACCAGAAAAGCCAGATGGTACTTGGAAGCTAGACGCATTCGTGGCAGTCCCAGATACATATTCTCGAATCATATTGGAATGCTGGAGAGAGGAGGTTGGCTGAATGGATGGAGGTTTACATGAAGCAATAGCAGCAAGAGGATTCTGGGAGGAAGACTGTTATGATAAAAAGAAATAGCGACAGGGATTATTATTATTACATATGGCCTTAAAGTGTTGTAAATAAAGTCGTTTATTATATATATATATATATATATATATATATATATATATATATATATATATATATATATATATATATATATATATGCATGCCTTGCTACATTCATCCGTCAATCGGACAAAGTCTATTTTTTAATAAATTCTAGTGTGGGCCCAGCATTAGAAATATTTTTTTAATTTTGTTGTCAGTATCAGTTCTGTTTCCGGCCAAGTTTCTTGTTTTAATATAACGTTTTTTTTATCAGTCCTGCTCGAAAAATGTCTAGTTTTCTGCAGTAGAATATTATGTGTTGAAAATTGTGTATCCGTCCATCGTGTGGACATTTGTCGTGTAGTATGTTAAAGCTTGTTAGATATTGTTTAGTTTGGCCGTGTTCAGTAAGGATTTGTGTCAGGTTGTAGTCGGTACTGTGTGAACGTTTATGGTTGTGTTATGTGAGTAGAGGAATAAATCTATGAAGGATTGGTGATTTTGACAAAGCCGTCCATGCTTAGTTGCATTTGACTATTTTTTCCTTTCTGAGGTCTGCCTTTATATATGAAATTGGAACCTTACTATATGATAACAAAACACATTGAACCTTACTATATGATAGTGGAAGATCACTATGAGCTGCTAACTTTGCAAGAGAACCCGCTTCCGCTTCTACATTACCTTCTATTTCCTTATGCCCTCTAATCCACTTTATATCAATATTTTTGTCATGATAGTGCAGTTTAACTAATTTTTTTCTGATGTCTATAATTTCTTCATGTTTTTTTTTTTTTGCATTTTGAATTGAATGAATAACGTTCATGCTGTCAGTGTAAATTGTTATGTCCGCATTTGTGTCTGTCTTTAGCCTAGTAAATATAGGCAAAAACAGGACCGATATCAAGAAAATTCATAATTGGTTGTAAATGTGGGGGATTAGTTCATCATCGAATGTAGAATAAACCATGAAAAGTCCCCTCAAATCACATGTCCGCTTCTATCCAAACTGGAAGGTCGAAGATCCACCCTGAACTTTCTGTCTTATGTTATGTGTTTTCTCATATCTCAGTCAAAACAATCATTCTTGAATTCAGCAAGTACTAATATAATCAGCAAGGATGCTCGTTGTGGTTTCCATCGAAGTTCACCTGATAAAAAAATTATAAACGAACTGTAAATTCATCTTTTTAGGGTAAAAAAAGTGAAATTTTCTTGATTCTAATTCTGTCACTCCCCGTAATATGTTAATATGTATGTCGGATGTGAATTTAAAGTTTTAAAACGAAATTTTCGATTGCGATCCGAGATATGTGCTAAAAACAGCGAAATTTTCACACTTTTTATAACAAAAAATTTTGCCATGTCTCCAAAACTATATCTCTTATCGAAATTATTACTCAAAAATTAAATAACATAAAATCTTCTATATATTTTTAGAATATCTTTTTAAAGTATGGCTAACAAGCGAGAAGTTACAGCAAGTTAACTGTTAAATTATTTCACAAGAAATAGCTGTTTTCCCCCAAAACTCAAAATCTATGCATCTCTTGAAGAAATTTATTATGACAACTGATAATACAGGGTTAGAGGTATATAGATCAGAGACTGGAGTTATGTGGTTTACAAAATCTGATTGGAGTACCGAGATTTTTATTGTCTACCGTTGATATAATTAATAGGATTTTTGTTATTTTAGTGGTCTTAATCATTTATTAGCTGTAAGCTATAGCTCCGTTAAAAGTGTACTTCAAAAATTTTATAATTGCTAAGCATCGTCAGAAAATAATTTCTATCCAAAATGGAGAGGTGAGTGAAAGTTGTGTGTTGCGCGCACCAGATTTTTATTCAATATGTACAATGTGAAATAGTTTTAAAATATACAAAATTAAAGGTACTTTAGATCAAAAACTTTTTTAAAATCGATATTTACGCTCTGTTGGAAAACATCAATGAGGATGAAAGTATATTTATATTGATAAAGACATAATTGTACATTAGCATAACGAGTTTAATCAAAATTGTTAGAGCGAAATTGGTATAACTCGTAAAAATGTGTTAAATCGATGATGAAGTGCAACTTCCGGTTTACCGAAAAAGTTGCTTTAACATGTCCGGCATATACAAACCTTAAATACGCAATTTCAGATTCATAGTTTTATTCTTTGCGCTAGTTTGTTCATACGCAATTTCAGATTCATACTTTTATTCTTTGCGCTAGTTTGTTCATACACAAACACAGACCATATTAGGAGACTTTGTTATTTGGACATAGTGGTCCTCAAAACGAGTATTTCTGATGAAAAATAGAAATTTTCCACGATCGCTATACTAACCCATAATATATATTTTATATTTAATGTAAAAAATGAATCATTTGCAATTGTCAGTTACATTTCAGTGAAAATGATTGGCTCAACTAAAAATTTAATTTTGTCTAATTCATTCCTATAATAAATAATTCATTATGTCCAGTTAGCAGTTACAGAAGATTGTCCATGATAAGCAAGTATTACTTAGCAGTCAAAATTCTTCTTTATCTCAAGCAAGCAACTCTTAGATTTATTTAAAAAATAAATAACCAGAAAGACATTGCTATTTAAAAAACAAGTTTGATTTATTTTTGTTACAGTATATGGTTAAAATTGGTTTACAGAAATTACTTCTTTTCCTAAACAAGGCCATGCAGAGAAACCAAGGGTTCCAGAGATGATTTTTCAGGAACCTCCTCAAATCATAAATTTACCACTAAAACTCAATCAAAGCATGGTTTTATAAGGTAAGCATCAAAAATATTTTTTATATTAAACATAATGATATATATGGCTTATTAATACATAAAATTAGAATATAAAAAACAAAACATGTAAGCCAGTTCCCTCCTGTCCCGCACATTGCTACATCCCTAGTGTCATCAGCATGGAGAAACATTATTTTAACACTTTTCATTTAATCTTGTAATATATCACAAATAATGGGAATCCTTAGTAAATTTGAGTTTACTGATGAAGATATATCTATATTATCCTAAAAACAGGTACGTAGGTTGGGTAGGTGTAAGCATACATTAAAGTTGGGAAGCTATTTTGAACCGAATAAGGAGCTAATTAATAGCAATATAAAACAGTTTAGTTACATACAAAGGATAGGGGAAAAAAAGTCAAAATGTAGGTTGAACAAAATGATTAAGTTTTATGTGGAAAAAAAAAATTTAGACTGATATTTTATTAGGTTAGGCACGAAATATTTTGTTTAAAGTTTACAATATTTAGTGTGCAAAATTAGTCCTTCAGCACATTACAAAATTCAGCTATCACTTTAATAATTACATAAAATATAAAAAATGTAATTGTAATTACAATTAAACACAACCTAATATGAAATGGATAATCCACACTTCACAATCTTATTGGTCCATTTTAACAATTGTTATAATAGAAAGAGATAAAGAAACAAGAGCTTGGTGAAATCGAAATCATATTCATTTCTTCTACAGCCTTTGTGAAAGGCTTAACAAAACTGTGAGGACTGCTTAAAGAGTACAGAAAATTTGACTTGTGACATTCTAACAAAAGTAGCAGCCAAACATAATATAATATACATATAATATTTACACCCTCCCAAGAGATCAACCACGCTCAGCTAACAACTTGTGATTGCTGCTTGCTTGCTCCTTAGATAATAATTAAACATATAATATATTCAACAAATATAAAACAAGTTAAAAAAAAAATTCTAATTTTTATGGAGTTCCGTTAAAATTTTTAATTTTTGTTTCAAAACCAAATGAAAAATACTCCCAGCCACAAGAGTGTATCCAAACAACTTAAAAAGGGCAGCTTAGGCACTGAATCAAGAAATCATGATCATATCAGATGAAATACATAAATGGAATTTAATTGAAGACTATCACTACTTAAAAAAATAAAGAATTTTCACCTTTAAAGTAAAAAATAGAACAGTTATTAAAAAAAAAAAAAACAGATCACCACATAAACTCATCATCAAGACGGATTAATTGAAATTAAGTTTTTAAAAATTAAACTCAATATCATACCACATCCCAGAATAGACCAAGCTTCTACTTTCATGAAAATAACTGTAATTATTAATACTATACCCATTTTAGGGAAATTAATACACACATTTTAGATATTTTCTATATTGTTCCTATAGTCTAAAAATAGCAAAATCATTCAACATCTATTTTTCAGTTTTTACTTAAATTATACATTGTACACATTAATTTAAAAATAAACAAATATTAAAAGTTCAGCTGAAAAAATGAATCTATTTTGTAAAATGTAAATCAAATAAAAAAAAAAAATACATATAAATACTAAACATATAAAACATATCATCTACATGCCAAGGAACTTCTTTAATCTAAAGAGTCTTTTATTTATAATCAGGTTGTTTCTTTTTACAAGAATAACTGATGAATTCTACTCTTGATGACAGATGTAGAAGCTATACATCTATATGTATATATAAATTTACAAGTGCTACAAATGGCTACCAACTCCAATGAAGCACGATAGAACGTAACGATATCACTGACAATAAAATACAAATAACAAAGTTATTCACTTTTGTAACTATCACCTACAATAACCAAAACAATTGAAGTATTTTTTATTTAATGTTAACTAAACTTATTTACATATGATACTTCTTGATAAATATATATAAGTATATAAATATTTACTGTTATAAACAAATAGAGCCTTTTAATTCCTTAATTTTTTTAACTTTTAAAGACTTAAAAGGCTCTGTTCAGATTAAAAAAAAAAAATGTTTGAAACATTTTATGTCCCATCTCACTCAACTCTCATCTTTTTCACTTTTTCAATAGATGTTTGCCCTGACAGCAATCTAGGGCTCCTGATATCTTTCAAACTCAAAGGTAGCTTTCTCTTAGAGCTTGCTTCACAAATTGTAACTTGCTCAGTAACACGTGACCTTATTGGCTCAGATCTCATTGTTTCAGCTCTCAGCTGTTGTATAGTTGATCCAGATTCCATGCGAGAAGGAGTTGCCTCAAAGCGAGCAGGTGTTTGTGGTTCGCTTCTTGGCGATTGGTCCATTCTCTGCTTGACTTCCAATCTTATCTGCTGTTGATCTAACCTACCATGAGGATCAAAACGCTGTTTAGTCTTATTGAAAATCTCCTCCAGCTTGTAATGCTCTTCAACATCCTCTTCCTCTTCTTCTTCTTCACATATCGGTTCTTCTTCACCTTCGACTCCTTCTTCATCAAAGTCACCTTCTTCCATTTCTTCTTCATCTCCATCATAGTGAGAAAACGGAGTCAAATTTAAAAAAGGCAAATTGAGTCTAGGGATATCAACATTTTGTTCCTTCATCAAAGATAAAAGCAATTGCATAATATCATAACGTTTTCGATTAACTTCTTCTGTTGTGAACCATTCTTTGATTGATCGAATAGGCATTCGATAGTCAGTTATTGGACTCTAAAAGAAAAAGCAATATATTAGTAATTTAATATACATTTTTATAAGAAGAAAAGACTGATTAATTATTGATGAAAATTAAACATAATAATAATAAATTGAATAAAATCTAAAATCAATAGCTGTTATCAAAAAGAATTTCCTACATGAAAATTAATTACTTTTAAACTGAAAGATAAAATTCAATTGTAAATAGTTGCAACAAAGGTTTACAAAATGAAAAAAATAAATAAGAACTTTTAAGAATAAACTTATTTTTGTGTTAATTTGAAATGGAGAAGACATAAAAAGTCCTTAGATAGGCAAGCCAGATTCAAGTAGATTATAGCCTAGTAACAGCCTCAAGAAATGTCATGATGTAAATTGCACATTTAAAATCTATGATTCCCAACAATGAAGAGGAAATTTACCAATATATTTTCTAAGAAAAAGCAATTATAAGATCACTTAGTGTTAAATCTAAGGGTATTTGAAAACCTTCTGTCATGGCATCAGATGAGGTAGACTTTTTAGAAGGATTACATTTTTAAGCAATCAAACATTAAAGAAGGTATTTTTCCACGAATTGACTGACAATTTAAAATTAATATTCGACCGACCACTTCATAGAGACAACGAGCAAGTCGAGAAAGAAATTCTGGGAATACTGAACCTAACTTCAACACCTTGTATTAATCCTTCATTATGAAATGAAATGAAAATATTTTTTATTATCCTGGGACTGTTGTCCCTTTAGGACAAATTACAGATACAGAATAAATACCTGTGTGGCCATACATAAAATTAATTATTTACATTTATTATTAAGATTAAGATTTTGAAAAAATAATAAAACAAAAAATATAACTACTACACTAAAAATATTCTGATATGTATAATACAAACTATATAATAAAATAAAATAGCATAAGTAAAGAAAATAATTTCTGGGGGAACTTTAAAAGTTCTCTTATCTACATTTCATGATCAATCGGGTTGGGAAAGGAAAAGGAGGTTAAAAAGGAGAGATTTAAATGAGGAAACTGATTGTACATGTCGGATATCCGGGGGGGATGGTATTCCAGAAGGAGACGGCTTGAATTATAAAGGATTTGTCAAACGCTGCAGTTCAGTGGGGAGGTGGATAGAGGTCGGAGGTACGAGATCTAGTGAGACGGGATTGAATGGAATATTTGAATTGTAGGTTGTGAAAAATATAGGAAGGCCGCTGAGTTCTGATGACTTGGTATAGAAAAGAATTATGCTGCAATAACTAGTATCAAGTTATTGCAGCTTGTGTCACAAGTTGATACAGCTTGTGTATGAGATATAAAGAAGCATTCGAAAATGTCATTAATCCTAGGAAAATGGAAATGGGAATAAAAACATCAAGGACAAATAGCGGAGGTTCGATTGTAGGTTCATAATCTGAGGCCAATCTTAAACTGATTAAAGACGAAACCAGCAGAAAAATAGAATGAGCTTAAGGGTGACACTTATAAAGAAGTATTAGACTATAATTATGATTATAAATATTCTGGAAGATCTAAAGAATAAAGGAATCAGAAATAGTTTCAACCATAATGGAACAAAATTGAATATAAAATCAAAGTGTAAAGTTGAGAACTATTTTATCCAACATAAAAAAAAAAGACGGAATCTCCGAATAGAACTTGGACGCACACATATGTGAAGATAACCCATAAGGGGAGGAAGTAGCTAGCCTTTGTGGATCTGTAGTGGCCTGTTTGGTGGAGGATTACTGCTAGGCTCTGAGATGCTTCGTCTAATCCAGGCTAGGGCACACCAAGAAATTGTGTAATATTGTCCAGCCTATTTGTCCACTCTGCATCAACTGCATAAGTTTGAACAGTAGGGTAACCAATAAGAGGCAAGTAGCATAAAATCCCCAGTTTTCAGTACTCATCCAGGAAATTTTAAAATGTTTTGTCACATTTCCAATCGCTTGGGTATTTGGCCAAACAAATTTGATTTTATCAAGTCAGTAAAGATCTCTAATTTTAGAATAAAATTGTCAAACATTGTTTTTCATTTATTATTTTAAATATTAAAACATAAAAATCACTAATTATTAGCACCGTTTTCCATAGTTTTTGGCACCTTAAAGTACCAGTTTCAGGCCAGTCTTCAGAATGTAAGAACTTTAATGACATTATGCAGAAATTTTATCTACATAGGTAGGTGGGTACTGAATTATCTTTGACCCGTTATGGAGCTCTACAAGAGCTCAGATATCGTAAAGGAGATTAAAGTAGGCCTGCTTCGGTGAGCAGGTCATTTAATTAGATTGACCCAGGATCAGATTCCGAGGAAGGTCCTAAATGAATGGATTTATGGAACAAGAAGAGTGAGAAGACCTTGGCTCCGATGCAGTGGCAGCAGCAACCAATAGAGAAGACCTGCGAACCAAGCTGCAGGAAGCCTTGACTCTAAAGGAGTTGTAGCGCCACAGATGATGATGATAATGATTATAACATACTCAGAAGTATGCGGGGTGGAGTTTTAGAAACAAATGGAAATAAGATCTGACAAATGTGGTCCCAGAGGGTTCGAATCCCGACACATGGTGGAAAAATTATTTATTATGTTTCATCGGCCATGGGGCAACCGTCTGGGGCACACCCAGCCTCATTAAAGTGGATACTTATAATTAAATAATTAATTAAAGGAGGAAAACATGGCGGTTGAGAGTGATTTCAGTCTAAAATCATCTTTTGACTAAGAAACAGTACTTTTCCTCAATATTACTGAACTCAAGACCCTCCATGGGCTGTAGTGGTACAGTTTATTTATTATTGCCAAACAACTAAATTAAATTGACAACTTCCCAGAAAAAAAGAAAAAAGATTATTTTTTTTATATGTGAAAAAAAAAGAAGATAATCTTAACCCTTAACTGATAACGATGGCTATAGTCGCACCAACTGAACGGCCACTGTTGCAATGATGACTGTAATCACATCGACCTTGCTACACTCTACTGGTTTTCTAGTGAAATAAAGCTTTTAACTAGAGCCTAATGGCGTAGAGATTTATTTTGAAGCTTTTCTTATAGAATTTACGAACTGTTATAGGTTATTACCTACTACGGCCTCTCTCTGGCTGACTCGACCATTTTCATTCTTTGTTTTGCGTTCTATGTGAAACAACCTTGTGTTCAATTTCTCTGTTTATTTTTTTATAAATTTCATTTAGTTTAATTTAGTTAGCAATTATATCAAGTAGAATTAGTTTAGTTAGTTATGTGGCCCATATAGATTAATTATTTTAGCTATTTTTTTTTAAAATGGATAAAAAGTGGTTTACTGCTACGGAAGCTGCCGAATTTATTACTACCTAAAACAATGATCGGCGCGAATCCAAATTCGAATGTAGAAATTATAAAGTTTCTCTCTGTGTTGAAAAATGTTTTGAAGATTACCACACACAATTAAATTGTTGAATAAATATTCAAACTTATAAAAACATTATTGAAAAAAAAAAGTTTTAACTCCGTCAGTGTCAGCCCACAGCCCAAATCTCAAAGGAGAATGAAAACAATAAAATAAGGTAGTAGTAAGAGCCAGTAATGAATGGTGGAAAGCTGGTAAAAAGCATGTAGTACATGGTTGTCAGGCTAATGGCTTATTCAGCACTGCGGTAGACGTAAAGCTCGTCACTCGTAGCAACGAAAAGGCTAAAGATGACTACTGGATAAAAATAATTAAAAATTTTAACACATATATTTTTAAGTAAGTCATTTTTTCAACATTACCTTAAAGAATGCTTCAACATACTGGAGCACATATACTCCACAGTCTATATAATTGGTTTGCTGAGGAACCTTTGGAACAGCTCCTTTAAAAACATCTTTTGAGAAATCTCGCAGTTTCCCTCGATGCCTAACTTTCCACTCAATTAGAAGGTACTCTCGTAAGGTGGCACAAACACGAGATCTACTCGTGCATGCAAGGGAATCAAAAATTAGGATGCTTGGCTGCTTTATTGGTTCTGATGGAGCCTTGGTTTTACTGTTAACTCTAGGTGTAGCTTCATCCATTAGATCTTCATCTTTCCCTGATTCCTAGAAAATATAAAAATTAACATTGAAATCTCACAATTTTAAGAACTTGCTAAATAAAAATGGTTTTTAGGTTTGAAATTAATTAATATAAAGTAAGCTTATTAATTATTAATAATAAAGTGGCATAATTCCATGATATATATCGATAATATTTTAATTGAACATTATTTCTAGGATGAAAAATAATAAAATTACTTCATCAGTGGTATTGGGTTCCATATCATCATCATCAGCTTCAGCCTCATCACGATCAGACTCGCCATCCCGTTCCTCATCCGGCTCCAACAGACTTATAGTTGGGGCCTTAGGTATTGTTATTTTATCTTTGGGTACAACAGTTATTGTTGTTCCATAGATCTTAGCAGGAGTGAGACCACCCGCGAGGACTGATGCATCAGCTGAAAAATCATTAATATAGAATGATTGTTTTAAAGAATATTTTTAAGGATATATATTCTTAAACTTACTTTTTTTCCTGATGACATTAGGAACAGCCTGATTATCCGACATGCGGACAGGACCAGTCAAACCGGGGAAGCATATAATACCCAGAAACCAATGAGACCTATTGATAATAAAAAAAATTATATAACAAAATATTTTATAAAATTGAATAAGACTAATTAATAGTTCCTTTGCAGATTACTGATTACAAAGAAACCATTCACTTAATAATCATAAATATAACTACAGTGCAACAATAAATCAATGGCATAGCTGAGGAAGAATGGGTTAATTCTATTCGGAATAGAATGGAAACAGAGACTAGCGACATCCTTTTAATTTATAATACTACTTTAGAGTAGTACAGTAAATATTACATTTTCAATGAACAATATCATATAGTTGCAAATATAATCCCATCCCCCCCAATATCCAAATAAAATAAAATAAAATTAATTAACAAGAAAATCTTCACCACTTTAAAATAACTCACTAATAAATATTTATTTTAGCCTTATAATAAACTTTACATCTTGTATTTCTCTGAATAATAACCTAACCCTTTCAAACTATTTCCAGATCTGATTTTTCCACTTTATCCAACATAACTAAAAGCGAAGATTGAAATATTGTTGACAATAGATGTGATACAGAGGATGGGGTATAGTCAAGATAGAAACACGGCAGGGTAATTTATTAGTGCTTTAAGGTATAGCGACAATTTGACAGAAATAGTCAATATCTAAGAGTTGCTGTAGATTCAACCCTGATGAATGTTTAAAACTGGGTCAAAATTAATTAATTAGGTCACAATGTAAATAAATGGTATTTTCATGCTGACAGAATTACTTGCATTAAAGCAGTATAGATCTATTACAAATTAACACAAATTCATAAAGGTAAAACAAAGTTTTTAAATATAATTTTAAGACGGGACCAAATCAATAAGCTACATATATACCTTTCATTGATCGGAATAATGATGAAGTCTTTCTCAAAAATGTCAACGGACTTTGTCCATCCCTTGACCCTTGCATGCCTTTTTTCCGCAGGAGATAGCTTTTGGTTTTCTTGATTCCCTGATTGACGTGGAGGGCACATAGTCAGCCGTTTGTAGAAAAATGAAGAAAAGATGTGAGTCCTCTTCCTATCTTCTTCACTTAAGACGTTGAGCCACAGATATCTGTGGAAAAAAAAAAAAATCATTCAATATTAAAACTTCGAGTTATCTTCCTGGTGGTTTTAAATAAACAACTAGGCAATTTTTAATTGAAATATTCAAATTATATTCCCCCACCTATGGCATGACCATAATTTTCTGTATGCATTTTTTAGAACTAAACAATTTTATGATCAAAGATAATTGAATTGTATTAAAAATTTAACATCATCAAAATTATTTCACCATCAAATATTTCCAAGCTCAACTTTTAGTTTAGCGATAAGGTTTCTCGTACAAAAGATCAGCTTAACTATAAAACTTAAATTTATAATTTACTAATATATAAAATTTAAAAAAAAGTTACCATCCTTACTTAACTAAAGATTAAGAAAATAACTAAAAAAAAAAATTAAATATGAATAAAAACTCTTACTTAAGGTAGAAGTCGATGATGACATCATTCAAAAATTGATCTTCTTTTAAACAGGCATAGTCTTCAGTGTTTATAGAAATTCCACCTTTTGCTGGTGGCGGTGGATAAACCATGATTCTAAAAAGTAGAAAAAGCAAATAATTATTGGATAAATATGTCATTATTATATGATTTGATGAATAAAATATGATTGAATAACTTCTTTCTAAAACTTTCTTCATTATGTATAGAAACAGTAGATAAATGTAATTGTCCATAAGAATAAATGTTAAGTCCATAAAAAGAAACAAAAATATCATGCAGTTAAGTTGAATTGCACATTTTATGAATTTTACCGTTAAAAGTTTCTAAAAGAATGAAAAGGATAAAAAATAAATAAAAAATATATAATAAAGTATTTTCTTTGTATACGAACACTATAAGCAAAATCTCATTTTCAAAATTAAAAAAAAGAAAACTAATATTAAGAAAACTGATAATCAAAGCTCAAGTTTATTATCTAGAACATCTATACTAATATTTGAGACCAACTTTTCTTCAAAAAGTTGATATTTTTTAAAACCAGAATTGCTAGATCCATAAATGTTAAATGCTCAAATAATATAAGTATGACCCAAGTAAAAAAAATCTATTTTAAAAACAAAACAAAAAAGCTAATATAAGTTACTACTTAAATTGCCCTTGTTTGAATTTTGAGGGAAGAAACAACCCTTAACCACAACTCATGAAGGATCTTACTTTCAGTACTTTGTATCCTTGTAATGAAACTAAACCTGAATGGACAAACTGTAATTACAATATAATTAGTGATCTAAGATTAGCTTTGAAAATTTCAATCCCCCCATTTTGTTTGTAATGGAATAGCTCTCAATGGGTAATGTTTGTGGACTTCTTTGAGCTCGACATGGCAAATTATTTTGCCATACAAATGTGGATCAATTTTTGGCTAAAGCATTTCTAGATTAAAAAATAATTCAAATACAAACTATTTAAGTATAATACTAACATTTGTATTCCTGTTGATGTTGAAGATTGTGAAGTTGAAGCGATGGATTTCATATTGTGTTTCTCTTTCTTTAAATCCTGCTGGATCTAAGGATAGAAAATTATTTAAAAAATAATGAAATTAAAAAATTTGTAAATACAACAAAATGCATAAATACGAATTTGTCTATAAGGACCTTGAATAAGCACTCTTTTTTTTAAATTAATGTTTTATGTAATCGGTAAAAACATGTCACTAAAAGTATTGCCCATCACTAGCCACTACTTTCTCCCATCATTCAGCGTATGAATACCACATAGAAAAAATGATATGTATTTTAAAGCTACACAAGAATCTTCCCATTTTCTCAGGATTTTAATAAGAATAAAAGTGCTGCTCAGCCAGGACAAGTGTAATAAAATCGCCTTGTGTCTCTGCTCTTATTCTTTATAGGTTGGCTCAAATCCATCATGAGTCTATCATTTATTATGAGTCTATAATAAACAAAATAAGTGACAATAGGAAGAGGTTATATCCGTTGATTAAGGCAGGTGGGGCAAGACTTCCCATTTAAGTGTTTCCGGGTGAGTTTTAACTGATTTGATCATTGTGGCCGAGCGTTGCCATTTATTAAAATCACCATGTTGTGCCTGCTCGCTTATCCTTTACAGGTTAGATTGGCTCAAATCTATCAATTGGAGTTTATAGTGATTCCACATAATAGTTTTATTCTATTTGAGCAGCTCATAATAAATTACACAATACTGATCAGACCAAATATAAAGGAACCATTGATATTTGGCTTTGAGAATAATGTTGAGCATAGTCGAGCTTACCAAATAATTTTTAAAGCTTAGGATCATCGTACTGCATTCATTTTTTTTTTTTTTTTTTTTATCACCAGTCACTACATCATTATTATCATCTGTGGTACTACAACTCCTGTAGAGTCAAGGCCTCCCGCAGCTAGGTCCGCCAGTCTTCTCCCTTGATTACTGATCCTCTCCAATAGCGGATTTTTAAAATGGACCTGGCATCCGCTGCCACTCCATTGATCCATCGGAGACGAGGTCTTCTCACTCTTTTTGTCCCATAAATCTTTTCATCTAGGACCATCCTAGGAATCTGATCCTGGGTCATTCTAATTAAATGGAATGAACTGCCTATTGAAGCTGGCCTACTTTAATTATCTTTAAGATATATGAGTTCTTGTAAAGTCTTTAGCTCAACATTCGTTCTTATCCTCCACATTTTATTGATGCAAAACTGGACCATAAATTCTCCTCTCGAACCTTAGAAGAAGGGCTTTCAGTGTACTGGGTAATGTCTAGCATTCGGAGGCTTAAGTGACAACTGGTCTTACCAGGGTTTTGTACAGTTGCACTTTTGTTTTCAGAGATAGCCGTAGCATTATACACTCCCAGGATAATCTTAACATCAGCTGTTGGGCAGGAATCAAGCTATTGCTCCAGACTACTATAAAAGGCATCTTTTTTATCATCTCCTGATGGTTCAGTCGGGACATGGACACTAACCATATTGTAAAAGTGAAATTTTCTTTTTATTTGGGGTAACAGATTCTTGGGCTAGTTGGTTTAAAGCCAGTGACTAACTGACTCATCTTGCTCAAAATGAATCCAGTTCCAAATGTGTGTTTCTCCTCGTAGCAGCTATAGAAGATGGGACTTTTCTTGTTGAAGGCTCCTTGACCCCTCCATCTTATTTCCTGGATTGCAGCTAAGCTAACATGATAACGGTTTAGTTGTATTAAAAGCTTTGTCCTATTTTAAGTTCCATTAGTAGTGTACTGAGTGTGTATTAGTAAATTACATTCCAGGTTGGAGGAACGGTGGCTGATTGCGGTACAATGACCGGGAGACAGGGCTGCCACCTCCCTACGCCTTTAGTCACTATATGATGCAAATAACTGTAACTAATACGGCACTTAATGTGCATGCTTCTGGAACATTTTCAATGCTTTCAAACTTTTAGATTCTTCTGTGTCATCTATTAGTAATGATTATTCAAGTTCAGTTAACGTCTGACATGGGTTTTTATTTTTCCGATTCTTCGCCTTCAAACTTTTTTGGTGTGCAAGAGTGTTCTCTATTTCTAAGATTAAAATCATTCTTTTTGAAGCGCTGAAACCAGTCTCTACGTGTCATTTCCGACAGCATGCTCACAGTAAGTATTAACAAGAATTTTCAATAAATACTCTTTACTTGGGACAAAATTGGCCATTTTTAAAACTTAAAAAAAAAAAAAAATGGTGCTGCCATCTGTTCATCTGTTAAGAAACAGCGAGAACTTATTCAAGATCCTAAAATAAAATGAATACATAGTATCTATAACATCCACTATAAAGGAAATACGAACATCTTTAGGAGCAGCTCTCACAAGAATATCATTAGCTTCGTCCCAAGTAATTTCTTCCATTAAACATCTGGATTCATAAATTGATTTAATGAATAACCTGTCTTCTTGAGTGATCTTATCGGGAAGCAATGTAATCCTTTTGTGTAATTCCTCTAAAAAAGAATTGTGGCATCAGTGAGATATTGGTAATTAAAAACAAACAAAACCAATAATAAAATACATCCATCTTAGCTATTAAAGAGTAAATTTCTGATTTAAGGGTTAATTGTAGTCTCATCAGAGTTTATCAAGTGAGGATCATGGTAATATATTAAGTGTAACAAATAAAATATATAGGAGCCTATATTAGAATATTCAGGCAAGCTATTAACTGAAACTTAATAAAAGACATATGGATAAAAAACAAAAAACAAACGTAATTAGAGCTGATGATTTGAACCTAACAAGCAAAGGTTAAAAGTGACAAAAGCCTTGAATACAGAAATACTAAAGGATGGCTCTACATATCCATGGTTTTGAAGAAATACATCAGGTTGGTGCTGGTTATCTATACGCATAACTACTCTTCAGGGAAAGCTTTGGGAAACTACTTAAAGATTTTCTATGGTAAAAATCTACTAAGTAGCATGAAGATTATGGTTGTTAATAGCTCAAAACAAAGAGCTATCAGTAAACTAATGAATAAGATAGGATGTCAGTACAGGTAGCTAACCACATTAGAGGAGAAGATAAATAGGACGATGAAGATTGAAAACAGCAGTAAGGGCAAAGATGAATACAAGAGAATGAGGAATAACCAAATATGCTGAAGCTAGTAAATCACAAGAGAGATGAGTTAACAAATGAATACTATTCTAGACTACAAGAAATAAGATGTAATTAATTTCCACCTGAATCATAAAAGAAAATTGTATAACACACAATCCAGTAATTTTATTTTAATTACGAAATATAACACTAACTTCATTTAGTATCATTTAAAAACATCACTTACACTGAAACACATTGTAACAACTTGCAGACTATACTCTGACACCAGAACAAAACATAATATACCTTCCAACATATCTGAAGCACTTTCAGATGACAAAGAAAAGATAGAAAAAGTATTTGAATTTAAAAAGACATTAAATTTGTACACCTAATTTGATTACATCTAAAGCCGCTAATGACCCGATCGGTAGATGCGGAATGTAACAATAAATAAATAAATAAAAACATATTTCACTTATGTTTACCAGTATTTGCTTACCATTATGTATTTAGTACAATATGTTGATTACAATTTAATCCAATACCGACAAAATTAAATTGAAATATTTTGTACAGGAGTGAGAATAACAAATTGTTTTCTCTAAAACATCTTACTTAAAAATTGATATTAAAAATAAAAATGTTCAAATATTGATAATAAATATTTTAAAAGTATAAAGCTTTCTAATTTACCTTTACTGGTTGGATCGAAGTAATGATTCTTATTCTTACTACTCATGTGTAATGCTTCTCGTATTTTTTTGCTAGCCTCATGAGTTATGTAATAAAACATGGTAGGACCAGTAGAAGAAACGTTTCCAAAGTGGATTAATACTTTGACAATATCTTTCATCAAGATTTTGATAACAGTTGTACTATCTGTGAGGAAAACAAATATTAATCTTTTTAAAATGTAAAAAATGAAGGCGAAAAATTTTATTTCTATTCATGAGGATGGTGTGGACAGGTGGGATGTTGATTTTTTAATAAATGATCTTTCATATCTTCCTGCTATCAAGATTGAAAAATAACAAATTTCTAAGAAACTTCCAAAATAAATATTTAAGTTTTTAATATTAATCAAAGTTTAAATTAAACCATAATATTCTCATAACAGATTTTTTATTTAATTTTAAAACATTGTTCAGTAACTTTCGGCCTATCTGCCATTTTCAAATTAATATTCAAGTTTTAAATATTAATCAAATTAGATCAGGGTTTTAATTAGTAAAAAATAATAATTAAGCAACCCCCATTTTACAAATTATGCAATTGTTCATTTCATTGTACTACCCTTTGCTTAAGTTGTGTAACTGCAATTTACATGTATTCTGTAGTTCAAATTATATTATTTTTTACTTTCACTTACCTAAATATGGAATATATAATAAGGAAAAGTATTGCGATCATGAAAATTTTTGAATCCGAGTTTTCAACAGAAATACATGTTTTGAGAGATCCCCTGAGATCCAAATAACTAAGTCCCGCAAAATGGTCTGTGCGTGTGTGTATGTGAACAGCCTAGTTCAAAAACGAAAAGTCGTACAAAACTGATATTACGTATTCAAGATAGGTATATACTTTAGATGTCACAGCTTTATCCTTAAAATTGGCTAACCTGAAGTGCCACTTTATATCAATGGTGAAACACAGTTTTACAATTTTCTCAAAAACAGCTTCAATGATTTTGATCAAACTTGGTGTATCATTATATAATTAAGTGGTCTTTAATATCGTTGAGGTCTTATCCCCATTGATGTCATTTTACAGGGCTTAAATGTTCATATATGTCTTCTTCTAAAGTACCTTTAATATGGTTTATTTTGAAAATTTAACTCTCTTTTATTGACAGTAACTATAAAAAATGGCTAAATATATCTTTGAAAACAATTCGATAATTCAATGAAGGAGAAAAAGTAAAAATGCTTATCCAGGTTGAAAATGAATCTTCGGAAATAATAGTCAGAAGGTATACATATAACATATATAAGGTATACATATAACATAATAGTCAGAAGGTATACGTATAACATAGCGTTGGTAAGCGGAGAATTTCAAATTCTTGACATTTCAAAAAACCATGACATGACACATTATAAGTGTTAAAGTAAATGAATAAGCTTCAGTTACTTACACAACTTTAGTATTCTAGTGAATTTTACAAGTAAGGTTTTGAAGTAAGCTGTTAATATATCACAGTAGTATACATTGAAGAGAAAGAATGAAATGAAATTATTAATTTTTAATAATAAAATGTGTGATGGGAATTGTTTTTGTTTTTTTAATCTTTATCAAAAGTGGTATTAATAGGATGAAACTAGGACAGATTAAGGCGAATATGGGAAAGTTTTGTTGTGGTCATAAATTTTCTTATACTGCAGTTTTTTAGGGGTCATTCATTAAGATTGACTAGTTTGCCCGGAATTTCGTAATTTTTTTCAAAAATATGTCTAAATTTTGATATTTTTTTATTTCTATTTGAGAAAATTACTGTATACAAAGAAAAATAAACAAAGTTCTCTACATTATATGCTCGTGAAGATAGCTAAATAAGCAATCCTTTATAAATTAATTGCTATGATAGCTAAGGATACGATATAACATGCTAATCAATTTGACTGACTACTAACTTAGCTGATCTCAATAAGAGAAGACTATTAATAATCTTTAAAAAATTTGATAGTCATGAAATATCTAATAAATCGATATCAATGAAAAATATTTTTTGGTAAAACAACAAAAATTACTGTTGAGATATAATTTATTTGATGAGCAGTATTATTCAATAAATAAAGATTTTCTCTTGTACTAATTAAACCTAAACAATGGGTGATGTTTACTGTTTATTGCGTTAACATTGCAAATGGGAAGAACTTTTACACTGTCCTTATCTCTTTTCTCACTGCATAGAGAAAGTACCATTTATTCATTTTTTTTTTATTCAAATTTCCCATTTAATAATTTTTTTAAAAATAATTTAAGTAATACTTTACATTAGAACCAAAACCTCCTGACATCCAGAAAAATATATTTAAATCGAAAGGAAAAAGGTAAAAAAAATATAATTAATAATGAGACTGGGTGATAACCCGGGGAATTAAATATTTAAAGATTGGAACCCTTTTAATCTTTGTAGATTTGTAAAAGGTCATACTCCACAGGGGATCAAATTTTTTTTTGAAAAATGTTACGATTTTACTGACTGGACAGTAAACAACAAAAAAGGTATTGTAAATTTAGATAATATGAATAAAATATGTTTTGACGGAATGCTGAGCTTATGAACCAATTAGAATATCTCATGGCTTACAAAACGACCTACATACTAATGGGTTGGCAAATAAGTCCTAATATAAAATAATTACCAATATAAAATACAAACAATAGCTTATTATAAAGAGGAAAAAATGCTACAAGGCATTATGCAGTTAGTGGAAAGATGGGAAAATGTCATATTAAATAATGGTCAATATATTGTAGATTAAAATCAATTTTATGACTATAATACATTGAATTTTATTTCCCCCCAAAAAACCGAAAGGACTTGTTTGCCAACACAATATTTTACAAGACAATATAAATATTGCTGACAATTTTTTTATTTTCAATCGAAATTGGACGATATTTAATACTAGAATAATGAAATAAGGGGATAATGACTCAGATGGTTGATGTCTTTAAAATACATAAAAAAATTTTTTTTTAAATTGGAAAGATCTGTCAATTTAATTAATTTGTAAAGAAATTAGAAAATGAGATAATATTAACTAGTTTTTGAAAGCGATGAAACCTTAATCTTGAGACCAAGTTCTGTCTCAATTATTTTATTATTTTTTATTTTATTTTTTTATCTAAGAAATTAGAATAAGAAATAATACTAACTAGTTTTTGAAAGTGATGGAACCTTAATCTTGAGACCATGTTCTGTTACAATTATTTTATCTTCAGGAGCAACTTTGTAAGTACCAAACCTTACTGTCCGGCAATTCAAAGTAGCCCTTTCTAAGTCGGTGTTATCTAGGAGACTTTCGATTTCAATTCCACCACCTGAAATTTAAATATGTTCCATACTATCATATTCATATTCATAGAATAGAATCATTTGCAAATAACTTATTTATTACTTTTGGGCCCCAAGACTTCCTTTGAGGTCCTAAACTGCTGAAGTATAGATAAATTTAAGCAATAAAATAATATACAATGCCATAATTAATAACTTGTCATTGTTTTAACAATATAATAAAATAATAATAAGATACCATAAAAGAATTTTGAAGGAATAAACCAAATTCTGGCAAATATATATATATATATATATATATTATATATATATAATATATATTTATATATATATATATATATATATTATATATATTTGTAAAAAAAAAATTAAAATTAAATTTTTTTAATTTTCTAAAGTTCTTCACTGATTGCTTAGAAATTTTGATAGAGTTGCAATCGAATTCAGGAGCGTTTCTTGAACATTTATTACCATTAGGCCTTTTGTTTTGAAATGCTGGCCGAAACTGTAGCACCAAAACGGCTTTAATGAAACTTGGTCTTCCTCTTGAAACATAACATACTTCCCCGAAAACAGGTTACGATGAATTCAAAATTTTATTTTTCAATAACTAAAAAAGTTATCACAATTTTTGATTGATAATATCCATATTTATTTGAAAACTTCCTGAGTTCCCTACAAAATAAAAAAAATGACATCGAAATAGAAAAGAATTATCTCCGAAATGAAACAATTTGTAGCGGCCGTAGGAATAAAGTGGGTTAAAATATTTTTTTAAGGAGAAACAAAGCTGAGACTTGTATTTCGCACTCTCAAACCCTCAAATACCAATTTTCACTGGAATTGAAAAATAAATTTTTTGTCCTAAATTTTCTTCAAGGCAAGACAAGGCAAAACCTTTGGTTTCATTTGGGAAACCATAAAAATTGTGATAACTAAATCATGGCTCCACCTATACTAACAAAAATAAGTAGGGATTTAGGTAATGCTATGTGATTTAATAAGTAATGTTATGCCACGTAAACTGCACAAAATGCAACAAACCGTGTACCCATAAGCATATTAGAACTGGAGATAACAAATGAATATGCATTAGATTTTATTTATTTATTCCTTATGAAGGCGTTAAATCTAAAAGTTTTTGATATGGTTTTGAAGAACAATCACTCAGCTTTCCAATGGTTACTGAATCATTAAATTAGGAAAATTATTTAGTACAACAGAATTATGGATTATATAGCGAATGGGATGGTGCGTTTTTTAATAAATATGTATAGTTTCACCATATATTTTATAATACTAGGTATATTAAACCACGCGCATATTTAAATGCAACGTTAAGCCAAAATTTCAAGGCAATGGGTGAAGAACTTTCCAAGATTAAGAGTTTGTACAAACGAAAATTTAAATTTTTATTTGTCATAAAATAATCAAAACAAAGTTGAACATTAAACAATACATTAAAAAATATAAAAAAAATAATAATAAAATCAAACATGAAAATATATGAGTGGCTTCATATCACAAAGACGGATCCTCTTTCATATTCAAAAAGTGGAGATTAAGTCAATTTTAGTTTTATAAGTTCAACTCAGACTGTTTCTGATGATTTAGAATGACGGCCTAACTCACTCCGATGATTAAGAATGTTCAAGTTAAATCATGAAAAAAAATCAGTAGAATTAGCTTAAATTGAAGTCATGTTACAGACAAATTTGTTTATCAACTTTTTAAAAATGACAGATGTCCTTCGGTATTAATTCAGTCATATGTGCTTTCTATTTTCTTTCTTTCCCATTTTACCAGACTAAGCCACAGCGGCGTGTGGCCGGGTAAAGCTAGTAGTTGATAAAACCTCTATTGATTCGAGTAAAAAATATATAGTTTAAAATTTAAATATAGAATTTTGTTTTAAAATAAAAGCGTTAATGTAATTAGAGATCCTACCTCGCAAGGAGTCAGGAAAATTAAATTCGTTGCCTTCCGTGTTAGCAGTAATTATTGGCTCCTTGTCAAATACTGAGGTTGTTGGTTCTTGGAATGTAACCCCATTTGATACACTTTTATTTGATTTATCTGTATCATCTTCTTCATCTGAAGAAATGGTAACACAAACTGTAAACAAAAATAAAATTATATTATACAGTTCAAAACCCATAAAGGTCATGATTTTAATCCATAAAATAACATCTATATTTTAACACTTGATTCTAAATTAATGTTATTCATAGAAGCTTCATAGCAAAGATGATAGTTAAGAAAAAATTTATTTAATAATTTCCTGATAAATTCGGACTTCATCTGCTTAACAATTATTCATTGCTATTTTGCATTCTGAGAACTTAAAAAAGGTGGATGTGTAACCCTGATAAAATGAAATTAATAAAGCACCACTGACAATGATCACAAGAGATCTTAGCAGACAACAGACATTACAAAATATGTAAATTGATGACCAGACAAATAAAATACAGTTCACAATAGATTCAAAAGGTATGTTCCATGATTATATAAATAAAAATGTAAGGTCAAACTTTAATGTGATTACGATTTAAAATTGTTTTAGCAATAATATATTAATACTATTTAAATTTATTCTAATCCATGAAAAGTACTAGAAACCATGTTACTCGTAAATGTTAATCAACAAGATACTTGTTAAAAATTAATGATCTATTATAAATAGCGATAAGTGACTGTTTTTAAATTACAATCAGATATGCAAACAAATAAGGAACAAAAAATAAGAAAATTCACAGTGTCCCTTAAGTTGTTTTTCAATACGTAATGGATAACATTAAATTTGATTTTATACACAATTTGTAATACATAGTAATCCATTGTCATCACAGAACTTTGGATAGTACCAACTAATTTTTTAATTTCATAAAATAAAAAACAATGCATTTCGTCTCATTAAAAAAATATTTGGTTTAACATTTATCTTTAACAATTTAAGTAATAATCTACAAAATCACACTTAAAATTTAGCAAAAGAGGAATGAACTATCACTTATCAACCCTTTTCATTAAAAATCTCAGTTTCTCTGGTTTTATTTCTGCTTTGACACCGCTGAAATACACATAGAAAAACGTTTAGCCAACCAGATTAGAACTGGCCAATGAAATTTGATCTAACACTTGATTTTTTCATAGATGATAGATAGTCAATAAGTTTTTAATGCCAACGTTTCAACACTGAAAGTGTTTGAAGTACTGAAGTATGCCCTGATGATGACCCAAAAATTAAAACAAAGCTTGGGTTGAAGTATTGGCAATCAAAATCTTAAAGCTGACTACATCTTAACTATCGGCCATGAAACAGTAGACTTATTTCCTTCACTACTTAATTCCTTTTGTTAACTAGTGACTATTAAAAAATGTTGATTTCCAATTTCTTTTTCATAACGGAAATTCATAAAAATAAATAAAATTTAAAGAAAATATAAATTAGCATTAATAAATCCACATTTAATCTAAGTCAAGTTTATAATAAACATAAAATTAATAACACTAGAATTGAAACATACCCATTTCTTCATTTTTTTTTGTTTTTTTGGTGCACTTCCTTTTTCTGTAATCACCCTTCTGAAACAAAATATAATTCGTTACAATAGAGAATTACAAAAAAAAAATATATATATATAAAAAATCAGAGACCAATATTACAAAATACTAGTTTAAAAAAAGTGTATTTGTGTAATATGAAAAAGTAAAGCCATGATTGGTCTTTGTATAGCAATATATACAAAACTCTAGAAAGACACAGTGAATACATTATCAGGATGTAGGACAAACCAAAATTATCAGAACATCTGATAGAGGACTTCAGAAAACTTTGGAATATAAATGAGTCAATGACCCAGTTAGAGAAAACCAATTGAATACATCTTATACTGTAAAGGTTCTCAGTAGCGGATACCTATGGAAAATGAAAATCAAATTTTGTCAGCTAGAAAGATATCGATTTAGAATAACTGAATGTAAAACAACGTCATGAAAAAATAAAAATTAGCGAATTAAAATTGTATTTTACGAGATAAATGAAATCCTTTATTTATTAAAAAAACATTTTTACTTCTGAATCTTCAATTAAATATTCTTTTATAATAATAATTATTAATAACTCTAATAGTTATTATAGTTTCAGCTACTGAATTGTGATGAAGCTTTTCCCTTGTTATAAAGTTCGTTATTTGCCTCTGTTTCTGAATGGTAACGTGTAATGAACTAATTTAATATTAATAATTAATGAACTATTGTATGATCCTTTGATGATTTCAAATCAAACTAAGTTTACTTGAAAGATTCAGAGACCATGAAAACGTGTTGTGACCTAAAAGATGTAGGATGTGTATAATTGTTTGAAATTGTAGCGTCAGTGCTGTAGGGTTAAGAATAAATCTATAAAATAAATATAAAATCTGAAGTTTTAGGATTTTTTTAATTATTAACATTTCCATTTTTATCTTTTAAAGTTGACTGGTACGAATGAAAATAAAATCTGAAGGAGAGCTAACAACAAAATGTTAAAACTGCAACCCCTGTTGTAAAACAGAGTGTCCAGTATATACATAACTGAACTAAGCTCTTATAAATTAAATAAATGATCGTGATATATAAAGCCTCAGAGGGTTCCCATCGTCTGTTAAGCAGAAATAATTTATACTGTAAAATTACTGAAATATAATGGGGATTATAAATTTGTCAGATATAAAGATAAGTCCACTAAGGTAAATTTGTCTGTATACACACCTACCTGTATACATACCTTTATTACATAGCATGTGATAAAAAAATTAGATAAATAAAAATATAATTTCCTATTTTGTCTTATTACAGATATTTCATAGCATTATACTACATAGCACAAACTTCAATCATGCAGAACTCCACACAAGGATCCAGAAATTGATGACATAACCAAGGAAATTTTAAGTTTGGTAAATCTGTACCCCAGAGGTAAAGAACACCATGTCCATTTTTGTATCTGTTCAGGGGAACCGATTTCCCATAACTTTAAACTATTAAAATTTGTTTCTTCATTACTAAATTATTTAATAAAAAAAATGGACATGGTGTATGTACCCCTCCGGGGCTACAGAAAAAGTGATATAAATTTACGGTGTCCAGCGAGCATAAAAAAAAAAAGTTAAGCATAATTCAAGGCTCTAAAAGCTTAAAAGCAACAAAAACAGAAACATAAATTGTTATATTAGGATGACTTCTGCTAAATTTGGAATTGAGAATGAATTAAAAAAAAATTAATTTGAATTAAATAATGAGAAGCCATTACTTAATTTCTTATACTGAGGGCTCAACAGGTAAGTAAAAATAAAAACAAGTGTGTATATATGTATATATATTACCATTCCCTTAGTACAAATCCCTAAATAAAGAAAAGGAAGACTGAGCTGTGTAAGTAGAGATCACAGAACATAGAACAGGAGCATACATATTAAAGGAGAGCGACTAAAGGACATTCTTAATGGAGGAGGTCTGTTCCTAGCTTTCTAGGAATCAAAGATGGTAGTAAGAACAACTACATCAATACCCTTCTTTATTTCTATACTTTTTGCCAAGTGTTAATCAAGAAACCAAATTTTTATAGGCTAAAAATTCTCGATATATACTTTTACTTTAACTTACCTATATATGTAATATATAGTTAGGGTAAGTATTGCGATTGTGAAAATTTTCGAGTCTGAGTTTGTTCAAAAACGAAAAGTCGTACGAAACTGATATTACGTATTTAAGATAGGTATATGCCTTAGATGTGACAGCAACTTTTTCCTTAAAATCGGCTTACCGGAATTTCCACTTTATATCAACGCTGCAACACATTTTTATAATTTTTCAAAAACGACTACCTATTTTGATTAAAATCAGTGTATCATTGTATAATTAAGTGGTCTTTAATATCATTTAAGTCTCATCCCCGTTGATGTCACTTTACAGGGCTTTAATGCCCAACGTTCATATACGTCTTCCTCTAAAGTACCTTTAACATGGTTTATTTCAAATAATTAACTATCTTTTAAATAGTTTAAAGTTAAACAAATAATTTAAAGTTACGAAAAAATGTTAAATATAAATTTTGAAAGAATTTGATAATTGAATAAAGGAAAAAAAATTAAAAATACATATCTAGGCCAGAAATAATAGTCAGAAGGTATAAGTATAATATATCGTTGGAAAGAGGAGAATTGAAAAAAACAAACAATATCTAATATAGAAAATTGTAGAAGGTAACGGAGAGTGGTGAAAAAAATATAAATAATAATTTCTCAAAAATTACATTATTTAACGTAAATCACGTGTTTTCAAGGAAATCAAATGAAACTTTCTTACTAAATATAAACTTTTAACATTTTTTTTTTAGTTTGAAAAAGTATTTAAAATCCATGGATTCAAGGCAATGACACTGGTTAAGATACAATTTCATTGTACTTGTGTGAAAGAAGAAGAGAAATATAAAAATATTTCATGGATGTATAAAGCAACAATCCATAATCAACTTTTTTTATTTTAATGGTATTTATCTTTTGTTAGGTGTAAGCTTTTAGCTTTAGCTCAGTGAAAAATGCAATTTACAATTTTTATAATAATCCAACATGGACAATAAATAATTCCTATTCAAAGTTGAGCGATAAGTGAAAGTTGTGTGTTGCACATACCAGATTTTTTATTTTTAGGTCGGATCAGAGAGCTATACATTGATATTTCAACTTAAAGAAAATTCCCAATCTTCAAGAAATTCAAGGCTGCTAGACACCCTGTAAAATGTTCAATACCAATGGCACAGATTTCATTTCTTCAAATGAAAAAACTTTGAATCAAAATATCAAAAGTTATAATACCCACATAAAATATTACAGTAAGGCTTAAAATTGGTTTTGTACCAAATATAAACCCCTGTCATGCTCAAATGCCATGAAGGGGTACCGTTGGATTCAGAATTTCATGGTGGATTAGCGAATCATAATCTCCACTTTTGTTTTTCTTTCTAAAATAAAGTCGATATAAACATTTGCTAGGCTTAGATACTTGGTGGTAAGTCGATGGATCGATACAGGACAAATTGGGATTTGAAGATTTTAATGCGGACTTCAAGACAACGTTAGTAGTTCCTTCAGATCTGCAAGGCCCTGCATTTTCGAGCAATATGTAACAGAAAATGTACCATTTACGAGATAATGCAAGTCAAACAGTTCACAGCTACACAACCTCATGTTAATTGTAATGCTGCCATGGGATATATATCTTATGTCGTCAACTTGAAGTCCCTATGATCGAGAGAGGAGGAGTTTATATTATTCATCAAAGATGTTTTTTAGTTGGTACTCCATATCTTCATTAAATTAATTCTTTGTCAAATCCCAAGGGTAAGCCATCATTTTTAAGGCTTTCTTCTCCTTCCGATGGATAAAATAGTCACATCCTCCAAAAATTATAGGAAAAAAGGCCATGAAGGAAAATAGACTTTATTTGAAAATAATTGAAAAAGTAAATACTTTTTTGTGTATTATACCCATAATTATTCAAAAGATTACTAAATGGCCTACAAAACGAAAAATCATCAAAATCGGACTATTATTAGCAAAGATAGATCTTATTTGTAAACGTGTTGGTTTAAACCATGAATGAATATATAAATTAATTTTCATTTCCTTTGCAGATTATAATTAGCGATAAAACAAGTACTGATTTCTTCATTTTATGACACTTGGCATTCTTTTTATTATATTAATTTGTCACTTGATCACTGACCAATATACTGTGCGAATTATTCGAACGGGCCAACTAGATAAGTATAAAAGATCTTGGATAAAAAACATACCTCTGGACTGTTGTTTTCTTCTTTATCATTATCTGATTTGCTAGGATTAGCTGGCAAAGTTCTCCGGCACCTCTGACACATTCCTAGGTCAGGAGTGGGGTACCCACAGAAAAGGCAAACTTCCCTCATCTGAAATGAAATGGAATTACTAAACTATATTAAGTCTAGTAAAATCATATTGATATTTCTTTCTGAAATATATTAAATTAAATCTGTCGCCTCTACCTCTAAAGGTCATTGGCATGTTATTATTATGTTAGATCAGGGGTCTCCAAACTATGGCCCGCAAGTACATCCAATCTGACCCGGGAATGTTTCTTTGATAACATGATAAAATTTCAAAAAGTATGAAATTTAGTGAATCAGCCAGACACGAGATTACTACATTTATTGCAAGAGTTGTTCCTCTTAGACAGCTCATATCATCACTTAAGTGTTATTTATAGAACAAGGTTTTTTTTTTTATAAAGAGATGACCACTCGTGGGACTTCCAGGTCTTAAAGCGACCTGTGGTACTTAGTGGAGGTCTCAATTTGGCCTGCAGTCCAAGAAGTTTGGAGAGCCCTGTCTTACATCATAGGTAATAGTGTGAAACTGTATAAATGGCAAAGCTCTACTTTTCATCATATTCAAGTTTATTTTCTAAAGGGAGTAACATTGAATTCTTCTCCCATAGTGCTATAACTCATGTGGAGCCAGGGCCTCCTGCAACTTCAACCACCAGTCATCTCTAAGAAGTGCAGCCGCCTTCCAATCGTCGACTGCAAGGATAGCTCAGGTGTCTGCTTCAACTCCATTAGCACATCTCTTTTGGCCCGCCTACTTGCCTTGCTGTTTAAATTTGTGGATCTAATAATTTTCTCAGTATATTATCTCCAGACATACGGCCAACTTGTCCAGCCCATCTTAATCTGACAATCCTTACCACCCTCACAACATTGGCATCTAGATACAACTCATTTTTGTACAGTATTGAGTAGATAAAAATAACAATTAATTGCGCACAACTATTCAGAAATAATAAAATAACCCTACATCAAAATGTTCTGATCAACACAGTTTCACACTGTTTACGACTCTATGTTCTAAGGAACAAATAATCAAAATTATTTTAAAACTTCAGAAATTGTAACAAAAATCATAACATGCTCAAATGCAGTTTTTGAAGAAATATCATGGTAAATATAAAACTCAATATAAAACAGTTTTATAATATCAGCATTTACACACACAATACAAGACAAAATAATATGCAAACTAAAGTTGATGCTACTGGGTAAGCAGTAAACACAAACTGGTTGGCAGTCATAGGTAAGTAAACAATTTCACATCAATGGAAACCATAGCAAACATCATTCTTCTCTATAAATACCTGCCATTTTTTTTTACAAACCTGATTAAAAATTATTTTTTTAAAAAACATTCTTGTTTTGCAATTAATAAATTTTAAGTTTAAATTTGTTTTTTGACCTTAAAAAATCGAAATTATTTTTAAATCACCAAATATAATTAATGGTAAAGACTCTTTGTATATATATGTATATACATGGTATTGTTTACTAGCAGAAAAGGATAATTTGTTTTTTTAAATTTTGTATTATAATAAAAAGATTAATATTACTGCATTGGCAGGGTTAAAAATCTTTAGTTTTGGAGTCGTGTAAATACATTAATTAACAAGGTGCTAATGTTGAAGGATTGCCATTCCTACTCCCAGATATGACTGGACAGATGTCTTAATAATAGTCTCTTGTCTCCAGTCTATTGTTCTTTAAGCTTAAGCGGCCTATGGCAAAATAGTGAAGTTAATGTTATGTGATTTTGTAAAATTATTCTTCATTCAATTAAAGCTGAATGTTAATGCAACTAGTATTAATTTTAAAATGTATACAGAATTAAATTTCAGTTACTAATGTTGCTTGTGTGATTTTTCTATTAATTTTTATAAATCCAATTTAATTTGACTTTAATTAACCACAGTGTTAAGTAATTTTATACATTTATATTTAATGTTATACAGATTTGATGGTTTTAGTTTCCAATATTTTTTTAGTATGCAATTTTTGTTTTCATAACAATGTTAATCTAATTTTTAATTTAATAAATATATTAAAAAGTCATCCGATACAATTTTATTTGAAGTACCATGAAAAATTAGTTGGTAGAAATATAATAATGAGAAATAATACTTTTCAAATTTAATATAAATGGAGCCCCCATGCATTATCAATGGAATATGTTCCCAGCTTCATAGCTTCATGCAGTGGTGACGAATGGAAACAAATTTATCATTATTTCGATTTTTTGTTAATATTGGTACATTATTTCAACTGCACTGTAACTGCTCACTCCCAATAAATTTAAGAAATAAATATTTATAGATGATATTTTGTATTATATATTTTCGATGCAAATTATAGCAAAGACATTCATATGCAACTGTTTAACTTGATGAATCCTCACTCTAGTACATACTACAAACATTTGGTTAAAATTATTTGCCTGATTAAGTTACTTTAAATGTATCTAACTAGTAAATTTACCTTAACATAAATAAAAATTATATGAACACAGACAATGGCGATTCTAGTTCGACAAACAAAGTTAAAAGGAGCAAGGAATAATCAACTGGTCCATATTCATTAATCTAATGACATCTCTATCAAGCTGGGAGGAACTTAGGTAACTAGGATAACGATCAAGGTAACTATGCGGCTGTGCAGGGAATGGAACATTTATTCAAGGACAAGCAATAAGAGCAACCAATTGTGAGGATATGAGGAAGAGCTGGATGCAGGAGAAATGCCAGGAAAGTAATAAGTAGATTTTTAGATTATCTAGAAATTCTTTTACACCTATTATCATTTAAAAACCTAAAACACGTAAAGCAAGATAAAGCTTTTTGGTAAGTTAACTATTTGGTAAAAGGTTTCGTTATGTAATTCTACTAAATAAAAATTATGATAATTCGTAATCATGAAATGGTATACTACTGATGTTCAAGACGATAATTCTAATTCTCCATATGGTCAGTCGTTAATCCACAAATTACAACTGATATTCAGTGAAACCAAATTAATGATCCTTATTTTATTTGTTAACTAAAATATATATTAAAGGTGCTGTCATATGAATGGGTTAAGAACAATCAATAAATTATAAACTTAATTAATTGCATCCATCTCTCTAATAATAAATAAATATAAATTTGGTACAGTTCTTTTCAGTATATAATGATCAGGTTGTAATAATCATTTTAAGCATCGAATACACCATAGAACAGGGTTGAGCGAATAGCAGTCAACAAAAATATGAAACCAAGCCAAAACATTGGCTCAACCCTGTCCAGAGATACGGATAATTTATTTTTGTGGCAAAATGCAACGGAGCCATGAAGGCCTTTATTAAAATCACTCCTATTAGGTGTAATTCCTAAAGTCTCAATAAATCGAAGTAGGCTTGTTGGGTTGACAAGTTTGTTTGTCTTAGGATCAATCACCCTATCAATGCCGAACAAACGGAACCTCAATTCAGCAAACCTGTTGCACCAACAAGTTATATGATAGATCATTTCATCCGCATGACCATAGAACCTAGAAAGAGAAGACTCCGTTAGCCAGTGATTGAACATGTGATAATTCAGTTTACAGTGTCCAGTATACAACGCTGTAATTATCTTAAGTGAGTTCCTGCTCAAGTTAATTAGTAGTTTGCTTCTTTTCAGACAGATTCCATTCAGGAACAATCTAAAGTCTGTTTTTTCAAGCGCAAGTATTTTTTGGCTTCAGCATCATAGATCTCCCCAATTATATTATTTATTAGATACAGACTAATTAGACAAAAGGGTTCAGGAGTTATGGGAATCGTTTGTGAGGCTAATCTGACTAATTCATCCGCCATCTCATTTCTATGAATTCAAAAGTGACCTGGAACCCATTCAATGTTTACCTTATTAAATCTAAATAGGTCCTTAAGAATTCTCACACAATCCTTAATGGCTTTAGATCTGGTTGTGTAATTGTCCAGCGCTTGTATTGCCGCTTGACCCATAGAGTAACAACTTTGAGGCACATAGAATTATCGCCACTATTTAAGATTGGAATACCATTGCATATTTGCCAAGTGATATAAACATGTCTTCCTCTGGTTATGCTTCCTCCAAAAATCAGCACCAGATCTGCATGTCATTAGTGACCTGTCAGTGTAACGATTAATCCCATCCAATTCCGGAACTGTCTATGTTAATATTTTAGTTCTTTGTTAGAAATTCTTTGATCTGAGTGTCAGAGTGCATTATAAGCATCTTGTTTTCCTCATTTTTTAAAAAATATTTTCCAATGTCCCTCATGGGTATTTATCTTCGAACATAAGTTAAGTTTTTGTAGCCTATAAAAAGTTTCTAAGGCCTGTTTTTTTAATTCCAACTGCAAAGATAAAAGACCAAACATTACTCCTATAGCTGCAGTCGGAGTTGTTATCATAGCAGCTGTTATCATTAGACAGGCTAATCTTTGTAATTTTTCCAGTTGTAACCGGTTGTGGCCCACTTATGTGGCCCCTAGGCCACTGTACAACAGTTGAATATAAGAGCATAGGTCTAACCGCTAATGTCACCATAAAGCCAGTAAACCATGTGTGGTTTAAGCCCCCATGCCTTCCCTACAACATTTTTACACGCCCAAAGGCATTTTAGTGCTTTATTCACTGTGATTTCAACATCATTTTATTGTCCAGCATAACACCTAAGTGTTTCACCTCCATACTTGATGTTAGCTGGATACAATTAATTTTATGTAACCTTATTTCAATCTTTTTCTTAATTGTGAAGATGCAAATATTTATCTCGGCCGGGCTCAGCCAACTGGACCGGCACCATCCCTCCAAGATCCCTGTCGCAGCCCTCAACAGATCAGAAAGAATACTCTGATATTTACCACCTATAAGACTAACGATATAATCCAAATATATCTGTATATTAAATATATATTAAAGGTGCTGTCATATGGATGGATAAAGAACAATCAATAAATTACACACTTAATTAATTGCTTCCATCTCTCTAATAATAAATAAATATAAATTTGGTACAGTTCTTTTGAAATATAAAATGATTATGAATCAGGTTTCA